CGGACACGGAAAAAAAAAAAAAAAAAAAAAAAAAAAAAAATAATAATAATGGTAAGCTAATGTCTTTGTAAGTAAGTATTTCCTTTGGATCAATTGCTAGGAATAAAATTTCTGGGCCCAAACACACATAAAATATCTTCATAATAAGGGTTTGGGTAATAAAAGTGACCCCCTGAAAAAGACTTAAGAAATGTGCAAAAGAAATGAGAATCTCTCTAATACATGATCCTGGTATAACCCACACACTGAGTGCCTAGCTTCAACCTCTATTATTGCTCTGCTCTAACCTGGAAGCCAACTTAGCACATCTGCATATTCCCTAGTGAGCATCCACTTGAGTCAAAGGCATTAGTGGGCACTGTACATGTTACAAAAGTTTCAGTAAAGAGGTTTTGACATTGCACAATTTCCAACATGCAATAATATAAACCAATCCCCTTTCTCTGCGGGGATTCTTCAATGTCTCTAGGCTATGCTACCACCAAGGATCCCTATACCTGACCTTCTCCTGGTCAGATCCAGTCCCTCCAATCCTGCCTCTCCCTATACAGAGTGGCTTACTTTCTCTACCACAAACCTGGGGACCTGTTGGGGACTCCCATTTAGCAAAGAAAGACCAATGTTAAGAGTGAACTCTAGAGTCACACAACCTCTGGTCAAATCCCAGCTCTCCACTTACTACCTGTGTAAGTTACTTAGACACTCTGTGGCTTACTTTCCTCAAAATTTAAAATGGGCATTAAAGTAGAACTTTCCTTGTATTAGTCTGTTTTTGTGTTCCTATAACAGAATACCTAAGAATGAGTAATTTATAAAGAAAAAAGGTTTATTTGGCTCACAATTCTGGGACAGGTTCATCTGGTAAGGGCCTCAGGCTGCTTCTACTCATGGCAGAAAATGGCAGGGCAGCCCACGGGTACAAGGAGGTCACAGGTCAAGAGGAAACAAGAGAGAGAGCTTCTCACACACTCTCCTTATAAAGCCATAAGAACCATGCCCGTGACCACAATTAAACCACCCATGTGGACTAATCTATTCACTAGGGCATGGTTCTCGCAATCTTATCACCTCTTCAAGGCCCCACCTTTCAATTACCATAATAGGATTTCCCACCCTCTTAACAGTTACAGTGGGGATTAATGAGTTGGGTGAGACATTCAATCCACACTATTCCTCTAACGCTGTTATAAGGATTAAATGAGTAAATATACATAAAACACTTAGAACTATGCCTAACATATAGCTATTATTATATCAAATAATTTCTCTACTAATAACTAAGAAAAAATTTTTCTCTTTATTGTTGCATTAGTGAACAGTTAAGTTGCTTTTCATTACAGTTTTAGACATCTTTAGTTTTCTCTTTGTATCTTTTTATTCCTTCCACCCCAACTTCCCTTTAAAGAAGAAATTTCAGTTTCATTTTCTCCCAAATCTTAAGTGCCCCTTCTCCCCAAACTACTTTCCCATTGCCACCCTGAAGGCTAGTTGGGTTTTTGTTGTAGTTATTGTTACAGTTATTTTCATCATCTTTTATTGTCGGTAGACAAGAACCTAATTGAGAGTAAGACTTTTTCATAAATATACATACTTTTTACCTGTTGGTATTGTGGATATTGCTGTACTAACTGTCTTGGAAAATAATAAGGTTAAGAGTCTATTTCATAAGACTCTCAAATCTTTTGTGTTGGTTATTAAAAGTCTCATTTTGATGACTTTCCTGACCATGAATTTTCTATAGAAATAAAAGTAAATTGATAAAACCCTATCTTCCTTTGACAAACTGTAGGCTAGTTCGCAGAGTAATAAAGAGTACTAGAACACACCAACACCTACCCAAATCTTTTTCAGCTATAAATTCATAACATTTACCTAGGTATCAGTGACCATTGAACTATTTCTCACCTAGTTCTAAGAGCTCTGCTGATGATGGGTTACTCAGCAATATCTCCCATAATTTCCCACTAGTGCTCTATTTTAATAGCAAAACATTCAGGCAACTACTACAAGACTAAATATATATGCTTCAAGAAACCTTTGCAACCATCTCACCCCAGTTAGGATGGCCAAAATCCAAAAGACACCGAAAGATAAATGCTGGCGTGGCTGTGGAGAAAAAGGAACTCTCTTACATTGTTGGTGGGAATGCATAATGGTGCAACCCCTATGGAAAATGGTTTGGAGGTTCCTCAAACAGCTGAAGATAGATCTACCATACGACCCAGCTATCCCACTGCTGGGAATATATCCAAAGGAATGGAAATCATCAAGTCGAAGGTATACCTGTACCCCAATGTTCATTGCAGCACTCTTTACAATAGCCAAGAGTTGGAATCAGCCCAAATGTCCTTCATCGGATGAGTGGATACGGAAAATGTGGTATATCTACACAGTGGAATACTACTCAGCTATAAAAACGAATGAAATACTGCCATTTGCAACAACATGGATGGACCTTGAGAGAATAATATTGAGTGAAACGAGTCAGGCAGAGAAAAAGAAATACCACATGTTATTGGTGGGAGCTAAAAAAAAATAAATAAACAAATTAATTTACCCACAAACACACACACACACAAAAAGAAAAAAAACCGGGGGGGGTGGGGTGGGGAAGAAGATATAACAACTATACTTTTTTTGTAGTTGTTACAACAAACAAACGGAAAGGACATTCTTGGGGGGGAGGGGAGAGAGGGAGGAGGGCGGGAGGTGTCGGTGATGGGCCATAATAATCATATACATTGTATATTGACAAAATAAAAATTTTAAAAAAAAAGAGAGACAAAAAAAAAGAAACCTTTGCATATTATAATACCCATTATACGTTTTAATGTGTCTTCTGAAATGTCATATAAAATAAATCCATGCGTTTTTTCATTATTCTTACTTGGAATAATTTTGGTTTGGAGATTTCTAGAGAAAAAAAAATACTTTTTGTTCGTTGAATTTACTAACTTGTACCTTCTAAATATAATGCCTTGAAATGATTTCTTAATCTCTCTGGGTCTAGTCTTCTTTTTACAAATTGGATGAGTTTCAATTCTCATCCAGCTCTATGCATCTATATCTATGATTACAGATGATACATTAGTAACAATTACCTGTTCAACAAATATTGTATCCTTTTAGGAGTCTCAAAAGCTATGCCACCTGCCAGAATTTGCCTTTGCATTTATTTTTATTGAATTTTTCTTTCTCTTTTTCAGATGTTACCAATTTTTGTAGCACCTCTTGGAGCCCAGGTAAGATTATTTTTAATATGATCTTTATTTTAAATCACTAGATGTGAGATATTTAATCTTGTCTCAATTCATCAGATAGTTGTGAAGTTTCCAATTTACTTTGCACTGTAGGGACACGGATAATAACAAGTGCTAACACTTACTGAGCACTTATTATGTGCTAGACACTGTTCTAAGTACTTTACATGCATTATCTTCTCCAATCTCAAAGCAACCTTTCAAGACGATATTTTTATTTCCAATTTGAGGATGAATAACGGAATATCTACAATTACTCAGTTACAGTCGCACCATTAGTAAATGTCACACACAGATGAAGCAACCAATCGATCCTCTAACCGAAACTGTTAAGAAAAAAAGAAATTAATGAGATTTACCTAATGATTAATGACTTTGGAATGTATTTATTTAATCTCATATTTATTTTTTAACTGTGTATTTTGCCTGAAAATGCTACAAATACCTTCTCTCCTCTCTCCTTGTTTATCTTTGTGAAAGTAATTCTTGAGATTGCTGATAAAATTACCAAATGCCAAGATCAAATATTAGCATCAGGTGACAGCTTTTACTTCTAAAAACAGAATCAAATATAAAATTCCTATCAAGTCTTAATTCTACATGTAAAACAAGTCCCAAGAAAATAATCTGGAATATGGCAAAGTTTTATCTACATATATTCATCAAAATAGCATTTGCAGTAGAGAAAAATATTGGTTGTACCTTAAATTTAAGACCAAAATAATGGTTAAATAAACTGTGCAACATAACAGAAAATACTATGTGACCTTTCAAAATTACATTTATTAAAATTGGTCTATAATTTAGTTAAATGATTGTTGTGTAATACTAAAAGAAAAGGCAAGACACAAAATTGTACAAATGACATGATTTCTATTGTGTAAAAAAGAAATGTAGGAAAAACATCTGGAAGAAAATGTCAAACTCAAAACGGTGGGATTATGGTTTGTTTGGTTTTTTTCTTTATTGCTTTGTGCATTCTCCAAGTTTCCATTAATGTGCATCTATTCTTAATAATAAATATATATATAACTTTTAAAATGCAGGTAACCTCACCTTTCTCAAATAATGAATGCTAGCAGTCCCATATTATATGCTGACTTGAGTTTTGCCATAAAGATCACAAAGGCAGTTTATCATATTATTGAAAATACAAAATCTCTTTTTATAATCTTTAAGAGTATTTCAAGTTTTTAAATTTATGTTGTACATATCTTGCCTCAAGTATATTAAAATTTGTCTAGTAACTCATGTTTATAATTTTGCTTTCAGGGTACTATCCTAAGCTCAGAGGAACTGGTAAAAAAAAAAATTAATTACTAACATTTCAAATTCTTTTCACTTCTACCATAATGTTTTCTGTCCTCATGCAGTCTTTTCTGAGCACAAACCCTGCATCTGGTGTACACTACATTGCTATAGTTTCTTGCATTAGATTATTCTGTCTCTAGCTAGGGATTTCATCATCCTTCTCCAGCTAGTTTTCCATTAATTTGGCTTAGCTTTTATTTTCCATATATTGTTGTCAGATTCAGTTATATGCAGAGGGCAAATGCACATTTTTTAAACTTTGTATTGATTAAAACCTAGGATTATAAGATATTAAAATGCATGAATATGTAGAATACTGTAAATATTGACACTTACTGCAGGAAAGATTAAATTTCTTGACTTGGATTTTTTATTTTGGTGGGAAAATATTTTTTTCTAGCATCTGATAGTGATGCATGAACTCTTTCCTATACACATGAAAAACTGGAAAGGTGAATCTAAATGAAGTTGATATTACCATTACCAGACACCTCTATGCATTCCTCCATAGGCCATTTTTTAGAGAAAATGACTTGAATTAATTAAAATGCCTTGATATTTAAACATGACAAAAGAAGTAAGGACTTGAGGCAACATCTGGGAACACCATTTTTAGACAGTTTTTCTGCTATGAAAAAGGTAAAGATTTGCTATACGGTCCATAAATAATAAAGTAGTGTGGTTAGTACCTGTTTTGCCAACATTGATACACTAACATCCATATCTACCAGTTATTGAGGCCCTTGTTTATCACAAGAACTCTAGCAAATCCTTTACGTGCATTGTCTTCAACCCTCACCAAATTACAAAGTGGAGATTTTTTTACCCAGATTTATAGATTAAAAAAAAAAAAAAAAACAGACTCAGAGAGCTTAAGTAATTTAGGTCCCAAAGACAAAAAAAAAGAAGAAAAAAAAGAGAGAAGATTCAGATCCAAAGCCATTTTTCTATGTACTGTACTAGTGGTTTTCAAACATTTTTTGGTACAACTCACAGTAACAACTACATTTTTCATGCAGCTCAACACATGCACGCACACCCCCACATACACGTTTCATGAAACAATACTCACCTTTACTACATGAAATGCACTTTGGTAACTTGTAGTCTACTCTTATTTTTTAATGATGGTTGCCACCCACCTTTTTTATTTCAAAACTGTGGATGTCACAACCCTCAATTTGAAAACTTCTATTCTCTGCTCCCGTCTCTCATCTAGCATAAGTCCGATTCTGGTTTCAGTATCTCTTAAATCCAAGATAGTGTTTCCCAAACTTCAGTCCCAGCCTGCCAAATCAAGATGACTTCAAGAGCTGGTTAAAATGCAGATTGTGATCCTTTCGTGATTCATAAGCATGATGACTGGGTTTTCACCCTGTTGTGGGTGACATGCCTCCCTGAAACCTTGTCACCACGCCAGCATGATACCCATCTGACATGAACCTAGAGGAAAAAAATAACAAATAAATACATTGAAAATTAAAAAGTGCAGATTACTGGGTCCTGCCCCAGATCTGTTCAATCAGAATCCTTCTAACAATGGAAAACTCCGATAGAGAGTAGTTCCTTAAGTAACCTCAAGGAACACACAAGTGGTTGAATTGCCAAAAGAAATGTTTCTGACTAAATATTCCAATGCTTTTGAAAATACATCAAAAGAAAGGATGCAAGCCATGAAATTGTGGATTGATTAATGTACTTGACGCAGTTACTTTTTCATTAAATTTTAATCTCCTAAATTACTTTTTTTGGGGGGAGGCAAAAGAAAGATCATGTTTTATGTCAGTAACAGAGATATAGCTCATCATAATTGTATAGATTTTCTGCCCTAGTTCAACCTCCAGATGCACCTAATAAAAACAAATCACGCATTATTCCTTTTCCCGTAATTGGCTTGATTCTGCCTTTCCCTTTCTGAGGGAAACGGAGCATAACCAGGAATCACAATAGTGAAACCAGCACCAGACTTGGCTCCAGCATGGGGGGCATTCCTCTGAGGAATGCCAGATCTTTGCTGTTTTCTCTGACTTGACCCTCTCCATCCTGTCATTCCTACCCAAACTTGCTACCCTTAAAAAAAAAAAAAAGCTGGCTGACCAGCCATAAAATGTGTTGCTTTTGTTTTCTGTTTGCCTCCCACATTCTAGCCAGTGGCCCAACAAATCTTCACAGGCCTAATCATCCATCCCTTGTACCCGGGAGACCTCCTGCCTTCCAGTCAGGCAGGAGCCAATCCAGATGTCCAGGCTAGAATCCCTTCTGCTGGACAAGCAGGAGCAAATCCTGCCTTCCAGAGAACCCTCCCAACTCCCAGAGGCACAGATGATGACTTTGAAGTTGCCACTCCTGCAGGCATTCAAAGGGGCTTGCATACTACAGAGGAAACCACCACAGAATCACCAAATGGTAAATTCTCCCAGCTTGGCCATGAAAGTTATCTGCAGAAAGGAAGAGAAGAGTACTTTGTCTTGCCTTGACAAATGCAGACCTTAATAAAAATCAGGGAGCTCATTTACTAACTCATAGTTGATTCCGGCAACATGAGGGAATATTTTTACTGGGCCACCAACCCTATGGTATTAACACTGAAAGAAGACATTTAATTGCTGGCATAGCATATCTTCTGTCTTAGGTCAGAGCTGAAAATATTTGGAAGCAGACTGTGTTTCTCTCCGTCCTGTCTTCCCCCAACACACACACACACACACACACACACACACACACACACACTGCCATAGCAGACACTTCAGTTCATCACAATCCTCTTTCCACTCACTGATGGTGGATGAACCTCAGAACTTTCCTAATGTAATATTGCAAGCAGCCACTAGTAATAGACGGGAGTTAGCAGAATAGATAAACCCATTTGCCATTCAAACTTGAGTAATGCTGCAAAAATAAGCCTTTCTAGCATTGACAAGCAAAGATAACTGTTTAGCATGAGGGAATGTCCAGAATCAAATATCCTTAGAAATGAAAAATGATTTGATACTGATGCTCTTATTCCTGGAAAAGAAATTTTGGTCTCAAGTAAGTATGTTTAAAATGTTTTTACTTACATTTCAAAGGTCTTTTATTTTCTTCCAGGAATTCAATAAACTGTTTCAAACTTGGTGAAACATGAATCTTTTCAATGATCATATTATGAAATAGATTGAGACACACGGGAGAGTCTCGGAAGAAATTAATTCTTAGTTTACCTGAAAACTTTCTCCAAATTTCAGAAAATATATTCTACCTAGAGAATACTGACTTCTGAAAAAGAATGATGAAATGGATAAACTTGTCTTTGAAATATAACATATGCCACCTCAGACCTAGAAAATATGTATATTAAAATGTATTTTGAAAACTGACTCTTTTTTTTTTTTTTTTGATGGAAGAAAGTTGGACTTTTTCAGAAACTACATGACCTCAGGACACTTACATGATACTCTAGGTCTGGGACTTTCTTGGAATCACTGTGGTTAAGGAAGTGAACACCCAGAAATGTGAGGATAAATTCTGATCTCCTCAAAACCACCTCATGACCCCTCTCCCCAAAGCACTGCAAATTTAATTTTCAATAAGCAGATTATTTTGGGTCATCTAAAATATACAGTGGAATCGAATAATTATAAATCATACTACCTGTCTTCAAGTGTGTATATTCACAGATAGCAATTAGGTTTAATTTTGGTATGTCGGAGAGTGGAAAATGACATCGATAAGAGCAATTACTAAAACAGACTGAGGTGATACTCTTGTTCCATTCACCTAAAAGGTAAAATTTAATCTGATTTAAACTTATACCCTAGACCATTGTATCCAGAGTGGGAGGGAGTGAAGGGAATTAAAACAAACTATAGAAGGCATGGATAGGGCTAACAACATTTCTCACGGTGTTTGGCTCAGCCCCATCAGTATGTAACAAGCCTAAATATACACCCATGAAATACATTCCATGTCAAGTTTTCCAAGTGGTCAAAGATTCACTAGTGGTTAAAGCTTTTTTGCCAATGTGTTTCAGATTCTGCAAATCTGAATGACATATTCATGAACCATCAAGGTTTTCATGACCAAGTGAGAGGAAACTAGGATTTGTTCTCCCAAAAATATTTTGCCATTTAATTAAATGTGCTATCCAAAGACTTCCTAGATAACTCTCTATAAAAAAAAAAAAAATTACCTCTGGGCCTCATTATTTTATCTGTAAAACAGGGGCAGAAATACCTATCATAGATATCCCACAAGGTTAATGTGATGATCAAAGTAGGTAATACATGAAGGTGCTTTGCAAACTCCAAACTACTATGGAAAGTTTTTTCATTTCCTTTCAATATCCTTCAAACAAGCTGAGCTTATCTGTCCTTCCAGCCCCACACCTTCCTCCCTAAACTCCTACATACCTATCTCCATGATAGCATTAACATGCTTTGTTAGTTTAGGTTTATGATCACCATCTAGACCATCTAAACCAGGGGTCTTCCAACTGGGTTATGCCACTCATAAGGGACCCTGAAGACTTTCAATGGTTACAGGAGACAGGTAGCTTTAAGGACTCAATTACCATCCTCAACTTCCACAGATGTATTCTCCTAAAACATACCTGCCTGAGAACATGTTCTCCTTTTTCTTCTCCCCCTACAGTCATTCTTTTGATACCTGACAAAAGAAAGATCCATTTCTCATCTATCACTGATCTTGCTATGGAAAATTGCTCTGTCACAGGTGCCTAATCATTAAAAAAGTTTTGATGGTAGAAATTAAAATTTAAAAAGTAAAAATATTTACTTATGAATTCATTTAAAAATATCAAGAATATATAAATTACATGTGAATATAAATAACATTTTTAAATTAAAAATACAGCTTTTAAAAATTTGGTAAGAAGAAGCTTAGTTTAATTAACAAAATTTAGTGAAGAGTGGTTTTATTCTTGAAATCTCTTTTATGTCTGAATTAATAAAAGATAATAGGATTCTCGTGTCTGCTTCTGCATTCACTCTGTATCTGTCACAATATCACATATGTAGGTGCTAGAATATTTCATTGTATACTCTTGAGAGAAAAAGATTTTTAAAAGGGAAGTAAAATCTTCATATTATTATAAAAAATAGTTTTACCTTGCTGACCTACATCTTGCACTAAAATTAACTCAAAATGGTTCACAGACCTTAATGTAAAATGAAAAACTATAAAACTCCTAGAAGATAACACAGGAAAATATCTAGGTAGCCTTGAGTTTGGCAGTGACTTTTTAGATACAATATCAAAAGCACTATCCATGAATTAAAAAATTGATAAGTTGGACTTCCTTAAAATTAAAAACTTCTGTTCTGCTAAAGACAGTGTTAAGATAAGCCGTAGACTGCTGGGAGAAAATCTTCGCAAAACATTTATCTGATAAAGGACTGATATCCAAAATGTACAAACAACTCAAAAAACTCAATAATTAGGAAACAAATAACCTAATTTAAACATGTGCAAAAGGTTTGAACTGACACCTCACCAAAAAAGATACACAAATGGCAAATAAGCATATGAAAAAATGCTCAATATCATATGTCAGCATGAAATTGCAAATTTTAAAAAAAATGAGATACCATTGCACACCTATTAAATGGCTAAAACCCACAACACTGATAAGCCCAAATGATTGCAAGGATGTGAAGCAGCAGAAATTCTCATTCATTGCTGATGGGAATGCAAACCGGTGGAGCCACTCTGGAAGACATTTCAGCAGTTTCTTACAAAACTTAACATGCTCTTAACCATACAATCCAGCAATTTCACTCCTTGGTATTTACTCAAATAAATTGAAAACTTATGTTCACACAAGAATCTACATAGCGAACGGCTTTGTTCATAATTGCCAAAACCTGGAAGCAACCAAGATGTTCTTCAGTAGGCAAATGGATAAACAAACTGTGTTACATCCAGAAAACAGATTATTCAGTGATAAAAAGAAATGAGATATCAAGTACCCTTAAATACACATTGACAACTGAGAAAAGCTGCACTGTATGATTCAGCTGGATGACATTCTGGAAAAGGTGAAATTATGGCGATAGTAAAATGAGGGGATTTTTTTCCTTTTTTTTTTTCTTTTTATTTTAACATTTACTTGTATGTATTTGTGGGGTACAATGTGCTGTTTCAATACATGCATATACTACACAATGATTCACTTAGGGTAGATAGCGTAGTTTTGTGTCTGTTAGTCCACCACTTCTCCTCTTTCCCCCACCCTCTGCCCCTCCTGGCCTCTGGTAACCATTATACTACTCTCTACTTCTATGAGAGCCACTTTTTCTTAAACCTCAGATGCCACATATAAGTGAGATCATGCAGTATTTGTCTTTCTGTACATGACTAACTTCACTTAACACGATGGTTTCCAGTTCCAACCATGTTGCTGTAAATCACAGGATATCATTTCTTTTTATAGCTGAATAGCATTCCATTGTGTATGTATACTACAGGTTTTTTATCCATTCATCTGTTGATGGGCATTTAGATTGATCCCATCTCTTAGCTATTGGGAATAGTGCTGCAATGACCATGGAGTGAAGGTGTCTTTTTGATATACTGATTTCATTTCCTTTGGATATATACCCAGTACTGGGATAGCTGGGTCATGGAGTAGATGTAATTTTAGTTCTCTGAGGAATCTCCATACTGTTTTCCACAATGGCTGTACCAATTTACATTCCCACAACAATGTAGGAGAGTTCCCTTTTCTCCACATCCTCACCAGCATTTGTTATTTTCTGTCTTGTTGATAATAGTCATTCTAACTGGGGTGAGATCGATATCTCATTGTGGTTTTAATTTGTATTTCCCTGATGATTAGTGATGTTGAGCATTTTTCATGTGCTTGTTGGCCATTTGTATGTCTTCTTTTGAGAAATGTCTGTTCGGATCCTTTGCCCATTTTTTATTTAGGTTATTTGTTTTTTTGCTGTTGAGTTGTTTAAGCTCCTTATATATTCTGGATATTAGCCCCTTGTCTGGTATGCATTTTGCAAACATTTTCTCCCATTCTGTAGGTTGTTTCCTTACCTTATGGATAGTGCCCCTTGCTGTGCAGAAGCTTTTCAGTTTGATGTACTCTCATTTGTGTATTTTTGCTTTAGTTGCCTGTGCTTTTGTTGTCTCATTCAAAAGAACGCTGCCCACTCCCATTTTGTATAGCATTCCTCCTATGTTTTCTTCTAATAGCTTCATTGTTCCAGATCTTAAATTTAGGTCTTTGATCCATTTTGAGTTCATTTTTGTGTATGGTGAGAGATAAAGGTCTAGTTTCAGTCTTCTGCACGTGCATATCCAGTTTTCTCAGCACAAGTTATTGAAGAGACTGTTCTCTCCCTACTGTATATTCTTGGCACCTTTGTCAAAAACCAGTTGTCTGTAATTACATGAGTTTATTTCTGGGTTTCCTATTCTGTTCCATTGGTCTATTTGTATGCCAATATCATGCTGTGTTGGTAACTGTAGCATATTTGAAACCAGGAAGTGCGATGCCTACAACTTTGTTCTTTTCGTTCAAAATTGCTTTAGTATATGGAGTCTTTTGTGGTTCCGTAGAAATTTTAAGGGCATTTTTCCTATTTCTGTGAAGAGCATTATTATTATTTTATAGGGATTGCATTGAATGTGTATATTGCTTTGGGTAATATGGACATTTTGATGATGTTAATTCTTCCAACTCAAGAACATGGTATACCTGTCCATTTATTTCTGTTCTCTTCAATTTTTTTCACCAATGTTTTATAGTTTTCATTGTAGAGGTTTTTTACCTCCTTTGTTAAGTTTACTCCTAGGTATTCCATTTTTTCCATAGCTACTGTAAATGGGATTACTTTCTTAATTTCTTCTTCAGCTATTTCATTATTGGCATATATGAAGGTGATTGATTTTTGTGTCAATTTTGGATTCTGCCACTATACTGAATTCATTTATTAGTTCCAGCAATTTCGTGGTGGAATCTTTGAGGTTTTCTATGTATATAATCATGTCATCTGCAAATAGGGATCATTTGACTTCCTCCTTTCCAATATGGATGAGCTTTTTTGCTTTCTCTTGTTGTGCTGGCTAGAACTTCTAGTACTACGTTGAGTAAGAGTGGGGAAAGTGTGCATCCTTGTCTTGTTCCAGATCTTCAAGGAAAAACCTCCAATATTGTCCATTCTGCATGATATTAGCTGTGGGTTTGTCATGTATGGCCTTTATTGTGCTGAGGTACATTCCTTTCATACCTAGTTTGTTGAGTGTTTTTATCATGAAAGGGTGTTGGATTTTATCAAATGCTTTTTCTACATCTCTTAAAATGATCTTTTTAAAAAACTCTTTCATTCTGTTGATGCAATATATCACACTTATTGATTTGCATGTTATTGATCCATCCTTGCATTCCTGGGATGAATCCCACTTGATCATGGTGAATAATCTTTCTAATGTGTTGCTGGATTCTGTTTGCTCGTATTTTGTTGAGGATCTTCACATCTGTGTTCATTATGGATATTGGTCTGTAGTTTTCTTTTTTTGTTATGTCTTTTTCCAGTTTGCATATGAGGTTAAAGTTGGCCTCATAAAATTAGTTTGGAAGTATTCTCTCCTCTTCAGTTTTTTTTTTTTAAGAGTTTGAGAAAATTTGGTACTGTTCTTCTTTAAATGTTTGGTAGAATTTGTCAGTGAAGCCATCTAGTCCTGGGGTTTTCTCTGCAGGGAGGCTTTTTATTACTGATTCAATCTCATTACTTGTTATTGGTCTGTTTAGGTTTTCTAGTTCTTCATGATTCAACCATGGTAAGTTGTATGTGTCCAGGAATTTATCCATTCCTTCTAGGTTTTCCCGTTTCATTATTGGCATATAGGAATATATATATGTGGCCTATGCTCACATATACTTGATAGAGTTTGGATGTGTTGTCCCCACCAAAACTCATGTGGAAATCTGATCCCCAGTGTGCCAGTACTGGAAGCTGTTTGAGCAAAGGGGGCAGATCCCTCATGAATGGATTAATGCTCTCCCTACATGGGGGGATTAATGAGTGAGTTCTTGCTGTATTAGTTCCCAT